ATTCAGAAGAGAATATAAGCAAGTAAAAGTTTACGCTATAAATTAATAACACAGCTCAGGAGCTGTTTGGTATTATCCAGAGCCTTTTGAGCACAGTAAAATTTTAAAACCTTAAAAAATAACTAGAAGCATATACATTACTAAGTTTCCAGGAAATTAAAATATTATCAAAAATTTATAAGAAGGTTCTGATGCAGAACACATGCTTTTTTTTTTTCTTGTGCTCAGTGGGTGGTCTTTTGCGCGTAGCTCAGGTATTTTGCCTACAGACTGTTTCTCTTCTTGCAGTTCCTCGGCTCCTCATTTTGAAAGACATGGTCAGACGTCTGCAGGAACTCCGACACACTGAGCAGGTGCAGAGGGCCTATGCGCTTAACTGTGGGGAAGGCGCCACAGTCAGCTATGAAATTCAGATTCGGGTGCTCAGAGAGTTTGGTCTTGCGGACGCTGCTGCGGAGCTCTTGCAGGTGGGGAACAATGTGAAGCTATTTGAACTGGGGAGCCATGGTTGTTTTTCAGGCAGTATTTTAGACACCCCAGGAGCCCTCCAGTGTATGGGAGAACCGTGAGAGGCAGTGTATAGGGTGAGCATGGCACAGGCTCTGTAGTGAGAACTGGGCTTCTGTCCTGGCTGTGCTGCTTGCCAGGTAGTTACTTAACCACTCTGAGCAGCAGTTTCCTTACATGTCAAATGGATTGTTGTGAAGATTAGAGGTGCTGTATGTAAAGCGACTGTGTCTCTTGTATGTCATAAACATTAAATGGTGACTGCTAAAAGTTCATGGTGTGTATGCCCCACCACTGAAAGAGGAAGCAGAAAATTCTGACCCTCCACTTCCCTCTCTCCCTGATCTGGTCTCTTATTTCTGGTTTGGGCCACTGTCATACTTACAGATCTTCTAGTTGCCCCTCTATTTCCTTCCTCCTCCCCCTTATTACAAGAAATGTTTTGCATAATGGTTCAAACCCTATAAACGAGAATCAAGAAATTAGTGCTTTTTTTTTTTAACTAGCAGGAAAAAACTCATTTCTAGTAATTATTAAGTACAAAAGCAATGGCATTGATTTTGCAGTGAAGATAGAATTTATAAAGTACAGTAGCCTCCCCTTATCTACGTTCCAAGACCCCCAGTGGATGCCTGAAGCTGTGGATAGTACCGAACCCTACTCATGCTATGTTTTTTCCCACACATAAACACCCCTGTGATAAAGTTTAATTTATAAATTAGGCACAGTAAGAGATTAACAACAATAATAATAAAAGTAAACAACTATAATATACAGTACTGTAATACAAGTTATGTGAATGTGATCTCAGAATATCTTAGTGTGCTGTACAGACAGCATGGAGACACTGGACAAAGGGATGATTCACATCCCAGGCGGGACGGCGGGAGATTTCATCATGCTGCTCAGAATGACTCACAATTTAAAACTTATAAATTGTTTATTTCTGGAGTTTTCCATGTAGTATTTTTGGACCTTGGTTGACCATGGGTAACTGAAACCATGGAAAACGAAACTGTAAATAAGGAGAGACTACTGTAACCTGCTCATGGCTACTAAATCAGAGCCTAAAATGAAATTTAATTTCACCTGGTCAAGAGATTGAATTTTCTTGCCACTGACCCCCCAGACCACATTAGCCTGAGTCTTCAGAGGGAATCCTGGTGTGCTCTTCTTCGGCGAGGCAGCAGGCCGTTTGTGTGTCCGCTCTTGATTTTCATTATTTGCCGTGGTTTCCATCCTGAAAAGATAGTCTTGTTTTATATTCATTTCTCTTTCCTTTGCCATTCTAAATTGTATCTTAATTTGATATCTTAAATTATATAAAAGTTTTATAATTTAAATACTCCCTTAAAATGTGTATCAAAATGTTAATCAAACTTATTCCTATATAATATTAATAGGTAAGGAATAGTATTTTATCATTTTTATTAGACTGAGTGTACAGATGTTTTTGTCAAAGTTCTAGGAGGATTTTCACTTGTGTGCCTTTTCTTTTGGTGTTTAATTGTAATTTTATTTTCTCAGCAAAGATATATATATATATATATTTATTTTTTAAAGATTTTTATTGGGGAATTGGTGGAGGGGAACAGCGCTGGGGAATTGGGGAAGGGGAACAGAGAAGTTGCTGTCGTTTTGTTCTTCAGTCTAGTTGTGGAGGATGTTGCTTCACTGGCCCATGTTGGTATTGTGATCATTGCGCTCTTCCCGGCTGAGGCAGATCGGTCACTGGCCTCTGGACGGCCACTCACGGTGGCTCTTGGCAGCTCACACCGGCTGCCGGCCACTCGTGCTGGCTGCTGGCTCCTCATGGTAGCTTTATGGCAGCCCACTGCAACAGGGGCTGCAGCCTACGCCGTCGCCAGTGACCCATGGCAGCCCAGCTCCAGGTTGAGCCATTGTTCACCACCATCTTAGCTGTAGAGGGCAGTGTCACCGGCCCTCACGTGGGATCCAAACCGGGGCCCTGCAGCTCAGAACTGGCGTCCCAAGCCAACTCCTAACCAACGCGCCACTCAGCCGCCCAGCAAAGATATATTTGAACTAGGTTTTATTTCCTGTTTTTGCGTTACCACATAATCCTGCAAGAGATTACTGACCTGCTTGCTGGAATATTCAGTTAAGCAGCTCTTTTTGATTGTTGTATGGTAGGCTACAGTCTATTGTTTTGTACTATTATTAAGGTAATTTTTTCTTGGCGACTTCTGGCCTAGAAAAATACATTGTGCCTTTTACTCTTGTTTTCTTAGGTGCTCACTTAACTCTCAGCCTGTAAGTTTTCGTCTGGAAAATCTGCTAATGTCTTTTTTTGTTGTTGTTTTTTATCTTTCTTAGAATCCTCACAAGTTCTTTCCTGATGAACGTTTTGGAGATGAAAGTCCACTCTTGACAATGAGACAGCCTGGGAGATGTCGAGTTAACAGCACCCCGGCTGCAGAAACCATGTTTACAGACCTGGACTCTTTTGTGGCCTTCCATCCGCCCTTGCCCCCTCCACCGCCTCCTTACCACCCCCCAGCTACCCCCATCCATAACCAGCTCAAAGCCAGCTGGAAACAGAGACCTCCCAGCCAGCATCCTTCACGTTCCTTTTCTTACCCCTGTAATCATTCACTGTTTCACTCCCGACCGGCTCCCAAAGCCGGCCCCCCTCCAGTCTATTTGCCAGGCATAAAAGGAGGAGCACCTGATTGTACCAACATCACAGGACTGGGGAGACAGACAGTGGCTGCCGCCGCCGCCTCAGCAACAATAGCATCTGAGAAACAAGTGGTAAGCCAGCTAACATTCAGTAACTTACCTAAGATAGGAAGTCTGGACTATTAGAAGCAATTCCCCTGGTCCCACGGGCCCTAGTGGGACTCAGCAGTGCCCAGAAGCGTTACCAGCAAGCTGAAAGCATAGACTTGAGGGGTATGGAACAGAGAGAAAGAGAAGTGTCGGGGAATGAGGAAGGAGAGAGAAGAGAGATTGAGGGGCCTATGGTGGGAGTAGCCCAGTGCCTGCCTTATCTTTATGCTCCTTTGCAGTTATTGGGAAGGGCGGGGTTACTGGGCAACATACATGGCTATCACCAGTCCTGGCTCTGTTCAAGCACAGGTCCAGCATCTGTCCTGACTTCTACAGAATTACTGTTATGCCAAGTGCTTTGGTGGGACGGGGGGGGGGGTCCTATCAGCAACCCCCCCATTCAGAAAATAAGTCCTCACGCCTGCCTCTGCCTCTGGCAAGCTGTTTGTCAGAGCACTCGCTTGGGAACCACAGTACTAGCACCAGTAGCTCATAATTAAGCAAGAGTTCTTTGCTTGATTTTACACTGCATTAGAGGTTGAATTTCTGTTTTATATAATACATTTGGGGAAAAAAACACTAGTGATTTATAAGTCTTCCTGCTCAGTTACCTATTGTCAGTGGCATTCAATATAGAGAGAAACAAAATATACATATATTAGTTCAGGGAATCTTCGTAAAATAGCACTTTTTGGCATCTAAGGACTAATGTAGACTTGGGTCAAATTATCATCCTTCCTCACCTTCAACCCTTCTACCCACTCCCCCTGCTGTGCCCCCCGCCCCCAATAGAAGAAAAAACAAAGCTTGATAGTGTTTGGTAAATCAAATTTTCTACAATTATAAAAGTTCTACTACTTTATATTTTAAATAAAACTCCCCTTAAAGGTAATTTATTTGTATGTTCATTGCAGTCTTCATTATAATAATGAAAAATTAGAAACAATCTTAATGTCCAACAGTGGGAGAATGGTTAAGTAAGTCATAGCTCATTGATACAGTGGAATATTACGTAGTAATTTAAATAGTAACCTCAAAGAAAATTTAGTGACAATTATGCGCTAAATTTTGTGAAAATTTATATATGTGCAAAGAAAAAGTGAGAAAAATACCTCAAAATGCTAATAACAAGTGGTTATCTCAGTAGGGAAGGTTAGGGGTTCGTTTTTGTTTTATTTTTTTACCTTTATAGTTGTAGCTTCTTATTCTTAAAAAAGGATGTATTAGTTTTACAATAAGGAAACAAAATCAGTGAACATCATTTTTACAAAGAGGGAGTCATGGGCCTTTATCTTCTAATCCTCCCCCACCCCCTTTGGTTTCTGTTCGCAGTGCACACAGCCTGTGCTAAATGATCTAATGCCAGATATCGCCATGGGTGTGTCCACACTGTCACTGAAGGACAGGAGGCTTCCAGAACTCACTGTAGACACAGAATTAAGCCAGTCGGTTTCTGAAGGAGGACCAGCGCCTCCCCAGCATCTCTCGTGTGTTCCACAGAGGCACACACACACGTCTCGAAAGAAACACACACTAGACCAGAAAACAGATGCTCGAGAAAATCAGCAGGAATACCCGGACTTCTATGACTTCTCCAATGCTGCTTGCAGACCTTCTACTCCTGCTCCTGGCAGACGCACCCCTTCCCCTTCGCAAGGTGGATGTTTTGGTCCCGATTTGTATAGCCACAATAAGGCATCACCAAGTGGCTTAAAGTCAGCCTACCTGCCTAGCCAGACCTCTCCTACAAAGCAGGAAGAAGCTAGGAGAGAATACCCACTTTCCCCGGATGGGCCTCCGCACAGACAGAAGAGCGAGCCGATACACCTGGATGTCGTTGAGCAGCCTCCCCAGCGGGCAGACTGTCCTCTGGCAGCCCCCGAAAATGCTGGCAGTGGTCCAGCCCACGTCAGGGGACGGACAGCCGTGGAAACCGACTTGACTTTCGGGCTGATTCCTACCAGACCTTCGCATCCTGCTTGTAGCTCTGATGCTCCAACAGAGAGATCCAGTAGAAGGCTAGCAGACAGTGAGTCCCTGGGCCCCGGAGCTCAGCGAAACACGGATTTGGAACGGGAAGATTCAATAAGCAGAGGAAGGAGGTCCCCGAGCAAACCGGACTTCCTCTACAAAAAGTCTGCCCTCTGAGCGCAACCTCCAAGTCGTCTGTGCCTGAGATGTGAAACATCCCATTCTTCATGTAACCCAACAACTTAGAGACCAGTTGATTGATGCCAGCTGATAACTCCGTTTCACATGGTTTTATTCTGGTTTTGTATATACACGTTTATTAGACGTGGCATGCTAAGAGGGTTATTTTGAATGCTGCATCTGTCTGTTTTGTGTTTGAACAGTTTTGTGGGGAAGCATTTTTAAGAACAAGCAAGCTGGCACTTTTTTTTCTCCTTACAAACAAACAATGGAATTTTTTTGCACTTGTACATTTATTTTATCTGTTGATTTTATATCAGTATGTTAAACTTTATTGCCACATTTAAAGGACTGTATTTTCATACTTTTTGCATTTTACCGTTCATCTACCGATTTCCACGTGCATTGGATTGCACACGAAGATGTATTTTCTTATGAAATAGTTCTGTGTTTATTTTTTAATTATAGAAATTCCAAAGAACAGCACATCAAAATGCTCCTCTCTTTTCAATAATTGTTTTGGTTCAGAAATCTTCCCGCTCAATCTCTATATCTGTTGTCATTCTTTTTCAATAAGTCTTGGGAGCCGGTTTTCATTCCGCCAGCTGGAGTCCAGTCGGGATCCTGGAGTTTGCTGGTTCAGTAAAGAACCGGAAGAAGAGTGTTTTGTGCCCAGGCTGACAAGTTGTTGCTGTCTTCACAGTGTGGCCGCCCTCAGAATCACTGCAGATTCTGGTGGCATGGATTAGGGGAGAAGAGATGAGCTGGAATCAAAGCCATGGAAGTCAGGAAGTAACTTCAAGGCTGCACTCCAGGATTCCTGGTTCTGAGCATTATCAACTCCAGCTGAGATAGGGAAGTGACTGTTTGCTGCCTTCAATTGTCTTGCTGTCTGTGGGAAAAAAAACAAAAACAAAAAAAAACAAAAGGGCTTCAGTCTTACGGATGTCATTTGGTGTTTGTAAGCGTATGTTTTCTTTTAAATGTTTTTTAAAGTGTGTCTGAATTTCGGTGTCCTATAAAGTTGTTGTATAACGCATAATGCTTTGTCACCAAAAAAGAGAAACCATTCTTTTTCAGTGAAACACTACATGTCCTACTTGAACTCCACTGGGGACGCTGGTTTGGGATTTTACTGAACCACTTAGCACATGGGATCTTTTACGATCCTTTCCCTGGGAAGGGCAATGTGTGAGCTAAGGACTGTTTTTTTCTTACTCTGCAATGTAAATATATTAGTATTTGAGTTTTTAAATCACTTCAACATGATTTGAGCATTCACTTTGTATTTTTACAGACACATACACACAGCCGTAGCACTTAGAAGAGACTTGCTGCACCTTCCCTCGTGGGAAGGATGTTTGGGAGCCTCTCTTCCATGTATGTATATAAATCTAAAACTGAGTCACTCACACGCACTCTAAAACTATGCAGGGCGAGGGAGCCTTTCCAAGCTACCGTAGAAATGAATTACATGCACTTTTCAGTCTCGAGGTTACTATTGGGTGTCAACAACTCTGATTTCTCCTGAAACTGTAGTTTCTCTTACAGTCTTTTCCCACTTTACCCTGTGGATATACACTCAGGAATAATCTGACATTTTAAAAAACCCTAGCAGTAGATAGTCTAGCCAGTCTCCAAGGTGAGACGCCCATCCGTGTATCTGCACACACTGGCACGCTGCCGCCCGACGAGTCCGCTACTGCATTCGTCCGCGCCGCTGAGGTTGCACACCCAGCCCCAGGTCTCCCAGAGCCCACTCTGATTTGCTGTAAGGTCGGCTCCACATCGCCTCTGAGGCTCCCTTTTTTAAAAATAGAAAAACACAGGACTCCGTTCTCATTTTTAGGAGGTTTGACTCTTTATAATAGATGGTGGTGTCCTTTGAAGCCAATCTCAGTCTGTCTCTCAGAAGCAAAAACCGTTAATTCCATCAGATTACTTAATGTGTGTTGATATACACATGTTGAACATGAATTATTTTGATACAGTTTTAAATTTCAATTCTGAATTCTGACTGTAATGTGCTGGTACTGCAAATAAGAGTGAGTAGAGCTAATTTGAGTGGGAGAAACTTGCTCATCTCTGACCTTTTTTTCTTTTTAACGTTACACAAGAGCTATTGATGTCACATTCATTTTTCTGAAAATTTATTGTATATTCTTTCATGTCCCCAAAGTATAATTATAGCTGTTCATAGTTTTATTTAATTTGTGAAGTTTGCTTTGAATAATTTAGTAACTTACTTGGCTAAACTATATGTATAGAGAGAAACTTGCTTTAACCTATGGGATTATGGACCGATGTGACTTGCAGAAGGTAAACAGATGTGGGTTTTGTGTGTGTTAAGGTAGGTGTTAGTGGACTTTCAATGTGTCTTGTGAAGTATGGTTAATAGGGTAGGTTGAATAGCTCTGTGCCTCTGGCTTTTGAACCCATCTATTCAATCTTTTTTAATGCTTACTAAGCATTAAAATCTGTTAATGCTGTACTAAGATAAATGTGAAGTCTGAGTAAGATTGCTCTCAGAAAAAAAAAATGTATAAAATGTGAGCCACAGGCTGACATTTTGCTTGGTGTAGAAATTTCATGAGAACCAAATCTCAGAATACCAGATCTCGTCTCGAGGCCCCCAGACAATCAGGCCATCAGACAATCACCACCTTCGGTGCCCGCCTTGTTGAGGTTAGAGAACTAACTACCTTTTAGGTCCTGAATCAGAAAGAGAAGGTCCACGTTTCTTCAAGATGCCGATTTTCTTATATTTTTCTTTTAGTTTTGTGATGTTGATGAATCATTTAAGTTCAAAGTTACCTGTGACTCCTAAGGGAAAAAGGTGGCGGCATGAAAAGGCAGAAATTATCCGAGAAATGGTGGTTTGACTTTTTCACATCCCATGCCCTTTCGCACATGTCCCTATAGTGTTTCTAGGCATGTGCCCCTACACCTAAGCCCTTCCAACATTTTGATAACCAGTTAGATTTTAAGGATTTTTAATAACTTCCTTTTATTTTAGTCTTTTTGTAGAACTCCCTGAAATTTCACCTAATTCTTGTTTTTGCTTCCTCAGAAACGCTTGTTTTTATTACAATTGCCATCCTTTATTGGGTTTTCCTTTGGTTTGGTGTTCAGGTTTTAGCAATGGGCAGTACTTTTTCATTTGAATTAAGGGGATGATGCAGAGAGGAGCAGCATCTGCGGCGACCGCGGTGGGTTCAAAGCTGACCTCTAGAGGTGAAGGATCAATATTCTCAGTAACTACTCAGCAAAATTTGTGTTTTCATAATGTTTAATCCACCTTTTAGGGAAAAACGTGTTTCGTGAAACACTTGTAAGATACTTGTTTTGCAATTCTAAGGCATTCATGTTTTTAGGACTGAACTCAAAGGGAAATGTTTATTAGACTTTTTAAAAAATTATTTGGTTGACTTTCAACTTTCTGTTGAAAGTTACTATTAAAGCAGCAGTGATGGGTGCTATTCCCAGTTCTGCAATGGTTTACTTCGTCTACTAAGTAATTTACTTTGAAACCTCATTACTGACAACCTTACTAAAAGAGTTACCATCACACGCTAAAAGGTATTTTACTATTAATATTTTCCATTAACACTGTTATATGAACAATGTTTTATGAATGTTCAGTTGTCTGTTTGTCTGATAAATTGCAATAGCTGTTATGTAATTGTATGAAGTCTTGATTTTTTTTTTCCTCTATAAAACCCTCAGACTGTGTGTCAGTCTTCCATATTCTGAATATTATAATTCTGTGGCCGTTTCTATAGAAAGGTGACTGGCAAGTGTGTATCTTGAAAATAACCTTTGGTGTTTGTGTGTTTACGTGGGTTCTGTCTAAGAGAGGAGATGAGCTCTGGAAGCTTCGTGTACCTGCTCGTGACTGTGTCTGGGTTCCGTGGGCAGGCGGCCTGGACTCCTGCTCTTAGACGGGGTGGCGGAAAGGTTCCTCAACGCCACGTGCTGTGGGCGCCACGTCTGTACTTCAGAGAGGTGGCACTGCTGCCACACTGCATTTCTTGTGGTTGTGCTGTTACTGGTATAAAGTCAAGTGCCTTCAATGCTAAAGGCTCAGAAATTTTTCTTAAACTGATTCCATGTCCTATGCAAGTGTTTTCTACAACCTGCATAACCAGTACTTTGTAAAACTTGTTTACGCTTCAATTGTACATAGTGTTTTTTAAAAGAAATATATAGTATTTTTATTTAGGTACCTCCAAACTTGAATTGGTCTGTGTGAAGCATTGTAAAACGATACATTTCTCTTTTGAGTATCATTACAGTTGTACAAAGGTTTTCACTGGTTCTATTTTTCTACTGTTACCGATAAGCATGTAACACTGACTTTATCCTACATATAGTTGGCATTTCAAATAAATGGCTTGTCTAGAACCTGCGGAGTTGGATAGTCTTTTTGCAGAGTAGCCTGCAGTCCTCACTCATAGGCGCGATTGTACCCTCTAAGGTAGAACTGGGAGGTTTTCATCGTGAACTTCCCCTCTATTTCTAAGATTTCAGTTATTCAGAGGCTTTTTTACTTTTGGTTTTCCTGGAAACACGTTTTTGTCTGAATCAAAGTCATTATATGTTCTGTTTTTTTCATTGAGGAACTTCTGAGAGATTTTATTTTACAAATTTAAGCAAAACGTTACCTGCTCTGGGGTCTCCAGAGAAGGCTTGACATTCGGCCCACAAGACCCAGCGCCTGGAATGGTCAGCCGGAGACCCAGGTGTATGCCGAGATTGATGGGCTTCCAGGTGTCGGAGACCTGGCTTAGAGTCTGAGCTTTTCGTTCTCTTTCAAACTCAGACTTACGAACATTTTTCAATTTGAAAGGGAAATGAAGTCGTGATCTAGAATCTAGGTTTCTGAAAAAAAACATGCAAAATAGAAAGTTCTGTAACTGCCATTTTTTAATTACTATAAAATAGCTCTTTTTTTTTAAAATTTTAATTATTTCATTAATAGGTTCCACCCTAGCATTTCACACTTCATGCCTCTCTAAGGCAATTCTCTCTTTATATTTTGTAACCATCGTTGGCTTAACTGTGGAGTTTCAACATAAAATCTAAGGTTTTTGTGAGTGAGTGAGCTTAATCTAAAAACAAATTGAGTCAATTTCCATGTCTCTACTTGTGATTACCCCTGGAAAAGTGAGCTCAGGCCAGCCTCTCACTTTGTGCCTTATTTCTCTTCAGTGCATTAAGGAATATTTGAGTCCACTCTTCCCAGAGCCTGCGAATATGGAGCAGCAGACAAAGCAGACATGATACCTATTCTCAGAAGCTTTAAGCTATAGGTAGAAATGACTGTTGTCCTAAAACAGAAGAGTACATAGCAGTAGGAGGTAATGGCTGAGGAGAAGGCTGGCCTGACCTGGCCCAGGAACGAACGGGAGGAGAATTATGCTGGTTTCCATGCTAAGCACTTTCTCTTCAATCAATGAATTAGGTACTATGCGTATTTTCTTTAATCCGTGAATTACTACTATTTTTAGTGCCATTTTACAAATGAGAAAACAGGCACAGAGATATTGAGTAAGTAGTCCAAAGTCACACAGCTAATAACTTAGCAGAGCCTGGACTCACACCCAGGCAGCCCGGCTCCAGAGCTCAGGTTCACAACCACGGTGTTGTACTGTGTGCACTCCAGAAAGTATGGTGGTCCCGGCAGGCGACACCAATGTGCAGGGGCTGGAGGTAGGTACAAGCGTGGCCTTCATTTGTTCAGCAAATACTGATTCATCAAATAAGCAACTTCTACCTTCCAGACCCTGCTAGGTCCTGAAGCGACAGTAATGAACTGGACAGTCACAGTCTACCCATAACAAGCTTAGTGTCTCAAGGAAGAAAAAACATTGAATAATTCCAGAGGTAAGGCTGGGGGTCTAACTGTTCCCAGGCTTGGGAAGTCTTCTGTGTGAAAGTGACCTTTAAAGTGCAAGTGACGGAAATCAGGACCACAGGGCAAGGCAGAGAGGGTTCTGGGGAGGCTGAGCTGGGCTTGTGTTTCTGGGAAGGTTTAGAAAACTCCCTGGACTGGTTTAGATGCCAGAAGAGTCCAATTCTGTCATAATAGGTCTAAGCTAATTTACCAAAACAAATCCAAGAAGAGAGTCAGTGTCCCTCCTACTCTGGGGCAAAATAGGACATCCTGTGATTTAGGCAAAAGCCATCAGCATCTTCCATCATTTCTGCCCCAGAGATTCTTAACTGCTGTCAGGTGCCCCAGTGGAGTGAGGCCAGGCTGGTGGAATAAAACTGCAGGGCCTGGGAGCAGGCAGGCAAGCATTTAATCCCCAGAGTCACTGCAGACTAGTTGTGGGGCCTCAGCCTCTCGGAGCCTTCATTGCCATATCTGTAAAATGGGGATGGACAGTAATATTCTGAGGGTCGTTGTGGGTGGGTGGAATGAGGTCGTACAGGAAGCTTGCAGCTTGTGGCTGTGCTCAGCAAACGGCGGGATGCGTGAGTGAGCACCCCCATCTGCGTGTTTAACAAATGGTGGAGCACCTGTCATGTGGCAGGCATTGGGCCAGGGTCCAGCGCTTTTTTTTTTTTTTTAAGATTTTTATTGGGGAATT